CCTTCCTGTAAATTCAGAGTTTCATGGTCTGATATTAGGTCCTTTCCATTTTGAGTTGATACTAGTACAGGGTGATAAACATGGATCTAGTTTCAGTTTCTTGCAGAAATACCACTTTTCCCAGCAACATTTGTTGAAGAGGCTGTCTTTTCTCCATCATAATTTTTGCACCTTTGTCAAAAATAGGTGGATAGTTGTTGGATTCATATCTGGGTCCTCTATTCTGTTCCACTGGTCTTCATGTCTGTTTTTGTGCCAGTACCATGCTGTTTTTATTGCTATTGCTTTGTAATATAGTTTGAAGTCAGGTATTGTGATACCTCCAGCATTGCTCTTTTTGCTGAGTATTGCCTTGGCTATTCGCAGTCTCTTGTGTTTCCAAATGAACTTTAGGGTAGATTTTTCAATCTCTGTGATGAAAGTCATTGGGATTTTGATGGGAATTGCATTAAACATGTAGATTGCTTTTGGTAGTATAGCCATTTTTACTATGTTGATTCTACCAATCCATGAGCATGGGAGATCTTTCCATCTTCTGTAGTCTTCCTCAATCTCTTTCTTCAGGGGTTTGTAATTCTCCTTGTAGAGGTCATTCACATCTTTGTTAAGTTTACTCCTAGGTATTTGATTTTTTTTTGAGGCTATTGTAAATGGAATTGTTTCCATGTATTCCTTCTCAGTTTGTTCATTGTTGGTGTATAGAAAAGCTAATGATTTTTGTAAGTTGATTTTGTATCCTGCTACCATGGTATACCTGTTTATGGTGTCTAAGAGTTTTTGGGTAGAGTTTTTTGGGTCTTTAAGGTATAGGATCATATCATCTGCAAATAGGGATATTTTGACAGTTTCTTTACCTATTTGTATTCCTTTTATTCTTCTTCTTGCTTAATTGCTCTGGCTAGGAAGTCCAGTACTATGTTGAAAAGGAGTGGGGATAGTGTGCACCCTTGTCTCATTCCTGATTTTAGGGAAAATGGTTTCAGTTTGTCTCCATCAAGTATGATGTTGGCTGTAGGTTTGTCATACATAGCATTTACAGTGTTGAGGTACATTCCTTCTGTTCCTAATTTTCTTAGAGCTTTTATCATGAAGTAGTGTTGGATCTTATCGAAAGCTTTTTCAGACCAAAAATCATATGTTCTCCCTCATATGTGGACATTAGATCAAGGGCAAACACAACAATGGGATTGGACTTTGAGCATATGATAAAAGCGAGAGCACACAAGGAAGGGATGAGGATAGGTAAGACACCTAAAAAACTAGCTAGCATTTGTTGCCCTTAAGCAGAGAACTAAAAGCAGATACCTTAAAACAACTGAGGCCAATAGGAAAAGGGGACCAGGAACTAGAGAAAAGGTGAGATCAAAAAGAATTAACCTAGAAGGTAACGCACACACACAGGAAATCAATGTGAGTCAATGCCCTGTATAGCTATCCTTATCTCAACCAGCAAAAACCCTTGTTCCTTCCTATCATTGCTTATACTCTCTCTACAACAAAATTAGAAATAAGGGCAAAATAGTTTCTGCTGGGTATCGAGGGGGTGTGGGGGAGAGGGAGGGGGCAGAGTGGGTGGTAAGGGAGGGGGTTGGGGCAGGGGGTAGAAATGACCCAAGCCTTGTATGCATATATGAAATAATAAAATTTTAAAAAAAAAAAGAAAGCTTTTTTCTGCAACTATTGTATTACATTTATAGATTTGCATATGTTGAACCACCCCTGCATCCCTGGGATGAAGCCATCATGGTGAATGATCTTTCTGATGTGTTGTTGGATTCCGTTTGCCATTATTTTATTGAGGATTTTTGCATTGGTGTTCATTAAGGGGAATGGCCTATAATTCTCCATTTTGAAGGTGTCTTTGTCTGGTTTTGGATGAATGTAATATTGGCTTTATAGAATGAGTTAGGCAGTGTTTGTTCCCTTTCTGTTTCAGGGAAATGTTTAAGGAGAGTTGATATTAGTTCTTCTTTAAAGGTCTGATAGAATTCACAGAGAATCCATCAAGTCCTGGACTTTTCTTTTTTAGGAGACTCTTTATTGCTGCTTTAATTTCATTTTGTGTTGTAGATCTACTCAGGTGGCTAATATCCTCTTGGATCAGTTTTGGATGGTCATAAGTATCTAGAGATTTGTCCATTTCTTGAAGATTTTCAAATTTATAGGAATATAGGTTCTCAAACTAGTCTCTGATGATTCCCTGGATTTCTGTGGTGTTTGTTGTTATCTCCCTTTTTGCATTTCTGATTTTACTGATTTGGGTCTTTTTCTCTCCTCATTTTAGTCAAATTTTCCATGGGTCATCTATCTTATTTAATTAATGAAAGAACTAGCTCTTTGTTTTGTTGATTCTTTGTATTTTTTTTGTTTCTTTGATTCTTTTTCATTAATTTTGGCACTTATTTTTATTATTTCTCTCCTTCTGCTTGTTTTGGGGTTTACTTGTTCTTGTTTTTCTAGGAGTTTGAGATGTAGCATTAGGTTATTGATTTGAGATCTTTCTGTCCTTTTAATATATACACTCATGGCTATAAACTTTCCTCTTAGGACTGCCTTTGCTGTGTCCCATAGGTTCTGGTAGGTCATGTTTTCATTTTCATTAACTTCCAGAATCTTTTAATTTCCTCTTCTATCTCATCAATGTCCCATTGATCATTGAGCAATGTGTTGTTCAGCTTTCAATTGTTTGCTTATTTTCTGCTGTTGTTTTTGTTGTTGAGATCTAGTTTTAATGCATTGGGATCAGATAGAATGCATGGGATTATTTCTGTTTTCTTATATTTGCTGAGGCTTGCTTTGTGTCCTAAGATGTGATCAATTTTGGAAAAAGTTCCATGGGCTGCTGAGAAGAATATATATTGTGCAGATGTTGGATGAAATATTCTGTAGACATCAGCTGGGTCTATTCAGTCTATGGTGTGATTTAGTTCTAGAATTTCTTTACTGATTTTTTGTTTGGATGACCTATCTATTGGTGATAGGTGGCATTAAATTCTCCCACTACCACTGTGTTGGAGTCTATATATGCTTTTAGGTCCTTCAGAGTATGTTTGATGAAATTGAGTGCACAGATGTTGGGTGTATATTGGTTGATAATTGTTATTTCCTTTTGGTGTATTTCTCTTTTTATTGGTCTGGTATGTCCTTCTTTTTCTTGTTTGATAAATGTAAGTTTGAAGTCTACTTTGTCCAAGATAAGTGTTGCTACTCCTGCCTTTTTGGGGGGGAGCTATTGGCTTGGTAAATCTTCTTCCAGCCTTTCACCCTAAGCCAGTGCTTGTTTCTGTCAATGAGATGAGTCTTCTGTAAACAACAGATTGTTGGATCTTCCTTTTTAATCCAGTTTGCTAAATGGTGTCTTTTGATGGGGCAATTAAGTCCATTCACATTCAGTGTTAATATTGATAGGTATTGGTGGTTCCTGTCATTTAGTTGTTTTTGTTGTTTCAGGGTTTAATTGTGTGCAGCTGAATCAGTGTTACTCTCTGATTCTCTGTCTTTTCTTCTCCTGTCGTTTGGTACTGCCTGTCCTCTCATGGTTTTGTTTGCTTTCATTTTCTGTGTGCAGAATTCCTTGGAGAATCTTTTGTAGTGGTGGCTTGGTGGTCATATATTGTTTTAGTTTCTGCTTATCATGGAAGACTTTTATTGCTCCATCTATTTTGAATGATAGTTTCCTGGGTGGAGTATCCTAGGGTTGAAGTTATTTTCATTCAGTGCCCAGAATACTTCACTTCATGCCGTTCTTGCTTTTAAGGTTTCCATTGAGAAAACTGCTGTGATTTTGATGGGTTTACCTTTGTATATTATTTGTTTTTTCTCTCTTACAGCCTTCAGTATTCTTTCTCTATTCTCTGTGCTTGTTTTTTTAATAATAATATGTCATGGAGAAGTTCTATTTTGGTCAAGTCTGTTTGGTGTCCTGGAGGCTTCCTGAACCTGGATGGGTATAGCTTTCTCTAGATTTGAGAAATTTTTGTTATTATTTTATTGAACATATTATGAATCCCTTTTGCTTGGACCTCTTTTCCTTCTTCAATGCCCATGATTCTCAGGTTTGGTATTTTAATGGAGTCAGTGAGTTCTTGCATATTCCTTTTGCAGGACTTGAGTTGTTTGACTAGTAACTCTACAGTTTTTCTTTTATTTTCCATTTTATCTTCAAGTCTGAGATTCTGTCTCCCACTTGTTTTAGTCTGCTGGATTGGCCTTCCCCTGTCTTTTGTGTTTCTGTCTGATTCTTTTTCCCGAGGTTTTCTATATCATGGATCACTTCCTCTTTAATATTTTCTATTTTTGTCTTTAATTTATTTATCTTTCTATTTATAGTATTCTCTGTTTCACTTTGGTGTTTATTTAGGGCTCCTCTGAGATCATTTATTTTTTTCTGTGTCTTCTCATATTCTTTAGTTTTGTTGTCTTGAAATTTCTTGAGTGCTTTTGTACATTTTGGTTAACCATGTCTGGTATCATCTCTGTGACATTCTCAGTGATTACTTGCAGGATTTCTTCTCTGAGGCTGTTCTTGTGAACATTGTTGGTTCCTTGGTGTCATTTATCTTTGTTTTGTTGGAGTCCAGGACTGGGTATCCATTTTCTTCATTTCCCTCTGAATCCTGTTTGGTCTGATGAATGTCTCCCAAACAGGTTTGGAGCTGGTGGTGGTGGCATTGGTGGCAGTGATGGCAGCCCACCTGTTTTCTCAGTGTAATGTGACATAGAGAAGCTTTCTATGGACTAGGGGCTCAGGGTATCAAGGTTTTGATTCTCCTTGGTGCTTTATTTCTGCCAAGTGTGGTTCCAGCACTTCAGCATGGTTTTGGAGTCATAGAGCTCACGCTTTCTGGTTCTGCACCCTAGTCGCCATCTTGGATCTTCTGAAGCTTTGATTTTCTGCATTCATGTTCACCATATTTTAAAAAATCATCAGAAAAACATGTTTTTTGAAGTTCATCAGCAAGTGTCCTAACATTAAATATATACATATGTATTCATTTCAGAATTGAAGAAAAATCTATTTACCTTCGTTTAAGGAAAAGAAACCACTGTAACCACAGAGACTACCAGAATATCTCAAGAAATGGTATGTAGCTTTCTGCTTCAGCCTTCTCCAAAGCACCTGTAAGGATGGGTTTTATTTCTTAAGTACTATAAAAACTGAGACTTCTATAGCAAGAACAAGAATAAAATGAACAGTCTCCTTCTAGCACCATTGTCCTTTCTGAGCTCAGAGTAATTTACCCAACAGCAAAGGAAAATGAGAACAATACGCAGTCAAGGGGAAGACCCTAGGGTGGGTCAGTCACTGTCACAAACTAGCTGCCTGGGGTCTTTCTTCTCCACCCAAATAGAAATGGTGGGTGGTGAAGTGATGCTTTGTCAGTTATTCCAGGGCCTTGGTGGGTGTTTCTAGGCTGCAGCAGCAGAAGACAGCAGACAGCAGTAGTCTTCTTGAGGCTTTTGACACCCCAGGTAAGACATGGAGTTCCAGACCTCATGTCATGAGGAAGTTACTGCTCTTTTGGGCTTTAGGCAATGCCCCTTAGTGGGAGATGTCTCTCTGCTCCTGATTCTGATTAACTCATATCAGTTTCACTTTTGGGGATGTCACCCCACTGCTGCTGCCACCTCAATTGTTGTGGGTTCTGAGGTCACCAATATTCCAGCTACCTGGGCAGATGGGCTTCTGTCTGCCCATGCCTCTCCTGTCTGTGGCTCCCATTACCACAGGAACCACTTGCCAGCCCACTGCTGCTTTCACTGCCCTGCTACCATCACCTGTGCTCTTCTTTTCTTTATGTAACCAGTTCAGTTTCTGTACTAACAATAAGAATCAAAAGTAGGCAAGGCAGGCCACTTAGACTTCAACACAGTCCAATAAGGACTTCTCTATTATCAAGCACAGGAGAGTGCTGCTCACAAAGTGAACTGAGCTTAGATAACCAGAAGGGTTCATTGGTGTCTGCACAAACCATGGCAGTCTTCTGATGCAAATAAAAGGTTGTGTTTACACCAGTCCTAGCACACTCCTGAAGAAGGGTCTAACAGCTGTCAGGGAGTGAAATCTCCTCAGCCCCCAACATCTCAGAGTGCTTATAACAAAGACATATCAGTTACTACTTTGGCAGTATTTAGTAGTGCTCTAAATAAGGAAAGGTAGGTCCCTACCTGCAAAGTTCTAGAAAAGCCAAGGGGTGGGGTGTTCCAGGCTCAGCAGGAAAGACCTAAATAAACATTAGCCAATGGAGGGCTGAGCAAAGTCAAGGTTATTGCAAAGCTCTACCCTCCCCACAAGGAAAATTCTCCCATGTTTCTGTTGAGGATGGAGTTTGAAGTTGTACCTGTGGGCATCTCAACTTCCCCTTGAACCTGGAGGTGGTCTACTGCCTTATGACATTGATGAAACTTCTGCGGTAAACAATGGTCCAGCTACTGCATAGTGGATCGGCCAGTAATGTTTTGTGACATTGTAAGGGAGAGGTGGCAAAGAGCTTGTGTGCTGTCCCTCCATCTTCCTAAGCCTGGGGAACATGTTACTAACCACCCTTGGCACTCCCACTTGCTACCCCCAGAGTCGGCCTCAGCAAGCAGTTCTCACAATGCAGTGTGCCTGACAACCATCATCCCCAGATTATTCTTGACACGTGAAGTGAAGGCTATTAGTCATCCCCATGACATCTCTCATTAACTAAAAATGTGGAGGGATTTTCCAAGCAGCATGAGTCTGAACTAAGTGTATTACCTACAGATAGTGCATTTCTTAAAATAAGTATTCTACAGAGAATGAATGTTCTATTCTAAGAATAACATAAATGTTTTAACTAGTAAATAATAAATGCCATTTATGAGCTCTTACCAAGCACTGTGATATATATAATATATATATTATATATATATTCACACATATTTATATGTATAAATATGTATATTTATGTATATTTCAGTTAATCCTTTTCACTGCAAACACTGTCAGGTGAATATTATTATATTTCTCCAGCGCTGAGATACCACTGATTGCAATAACTCTGGAGAGTGTTGAGGGAGGGAAAAGGAAGGAAAATTTACAATGTACACATTCATTATAATACAACTCAAATGTGTTAAAATATATTTCTCACAATGGAGGAATTATAAGGAGATCCACGTGGATATCCACATAAAAAGCAGATTCATTGTCAGGTCAAGAACCTTGTACCAGGTCACAGACATGGTGAACTTACAGAGGTGGAACTTCTGCCCTGGTTGTTTAACTCCACTCAGACACCAACAAAGATAATTCAACAACCAGACTGTGATCTATCCAATATGGTCAATTGAGAAAGGTCAGCCTAACCTCCTACACAGGAACACAACCAATAGTTAATGGACAATTCCAATGAAACTGCTTCTGAAACCCTTGCCACTCTTTACCACTAATGAGATACTCAAACATCCCCCAACACTGCCAAACACTCTCTTTCAATGTAGCCTGTAAAAAGAAAAGAACAAAAGATCATCTGTATGGAATACTATGCAGCTCTAGAAAATGATGGCTAGTGTTTTTCTATTTTTTTTTATTTGGAAAGATAAAACATTGACAAGAGAAAAATTAAATTATAAAATTAGATCATACAGTTCAATTTCTACCATGTTTTTAAAAGGAAAAAATACCTATATCTAAGAAGAAAGATTGGTAGGAAATACACCAAAATCATTATTTTTGATAAATTTTGGTTGGTTGCTTTTTTCTTTTTTCCTACTTTTCTGTTTCCAAAAGGTTTCAACTTTGTAGAAATAACATTTTAAAAACCCTAGAAAGAAATAGAGTCTGCCAACAGTAATGGTTTTGCCCAAGGTTGTAAAGCTGAAGGTATTAGGTTAGAGCAGGAAATGACCAATAAGATTCTGCCAGGATATTGGGCACCAGTGACCTGTAATCCTAGCCACTCAAGAGGCAGAGATCAGGAGGATCACGATTTGAAACCAGCCTGGGCAAATAGTTCATGAGACTCTATCTCAAAAAACATCCATGACAAAAAAGGACCAGTGGAGTGACTCAAGGTGTAGGCCCTGAGTTCGAACCCCAGTACCGCAAAAAAAAAAAAAAAAAGATTCTGCCAGAAATGCAAGCTACAAGTTGTTCTCTCTCCATGTGATTTCAGTGTTTCTCTTTCCTTAGACCCAGACATGTCTTCCCATAACAAGTACAGGGATCTTTCGTACAATCATAAAGACCAGTGTAGGATATTCCACAAAGTACCCAGACAGTTGACAGTAGCTGGCCCTCCTGTGTGATCTGCCACCTTGACAATGTTCCTTTATGATCCTGGGTTGCAGGAACAAAAAAAGGGAACCAGGACATAGGAGGAGGTGATCATGAAAAAACAGAAAAAGCAGAATTTGATGGAAACATGCAGCTTCTGTCAGATTTTTATCTAATAAATAGATGCTGGGGGGAAGGAAAGGGACATTTCTTTTCTTTTCTTTGAATTTGCATTCCTTAGAAATACATAAGACAGACAACTCGTCTTATGTTATTTCTTCAAAGCTTCTTCCTGACTATTTTTCTACGAACTTAATTCTAAAAGGACTTTATTTTTTAGCTTCCCACAGTTACTCGTTATTTAATGTCCTGGTTTTATTCTCCAGCCCTGCTTCCTATTTTCTGTTGCTTTTCCTTGCTATGGAAGCAAGGAAAATATCCTTTCTTTTGATGTTATGCAGCAAGTCACCTGACTGCCCACACCAAGTTATTTCAATTACTCCCCGAGGTTTTTATTAGGTTTAGGAAAAGTCAGCTTTCCACATTCTGCATATTTATGGCGGCACTTATTCTTCAGAACCAGCAAGAGAGAAAGAGGAAGAAAGGAAGAAAGAGTTGAATGGAATATTAAAGTGTTTCTTTAAAATTATACAGTAAGAATTAAAGAAACAGTTCCAAATTCATCATAACCTTTATATAGGAGATCTCAAAAAATTCTATAGATGCCTCCATGTATAGAAAAATTGCCAAAGATTATAGAGCATTTTAAAATGTAAAGTGTAGAAGTCATCTTTAATGCAAATGACAATTCTCTGACCAGGGGGCTGGTTAGGAAGAGGCAGGTTCCTGCCAAGAGTTCTTACAATCAGCAAAGGAGACGATGGCAGAGGCAGCCCAGGGTGGGAGGGAGGCAGCCAGTGCCCTGAAGACAGAAGGGGTCAAAATGCTGTAGGGAGTTGGCTGGCTTCTCACAAAACATTCCCTTATCTCTCGGAGGTGGAAAGTGAGGCCCAGAGAACAAGAGCAGAGGCTCTCCCTTCCTGTTGCCTCATAAAATCTTCTTTCCTTAAAGCACAAAATAGAATTTAGGTCCTGGAACTGGTGTGTGAGTTGGGCCAGTCACTTGCTCTCTCTAGTTGGTTTCTGTACTTGGGAAATGGGGATCCTGGCTTAGTGAACACAGTTGACAACGGCCACCTAGATCTCATTCTGGATTGTCTAGACAACTAGCCGGCCGGAGTAAGCTATTTTCACCCCATCCTCCTGGGGGAGAAACTGCATCTGAACTAGTGCGGTAAGGGTTGTGGAGAACATCTGTCTTCTCATCTTTTGCAAGGACAACTATTTTCCAGTAAAGCCAATTTCCTAAACTATGCCACTGTGATATTATACATGCATCACAAAACCTGGTGCAGGACTGACCCAGGTGGGCCGCCATGCACAAGAGGGATAGCAACATATGTGCCTGAACACCACAGGAGTGCTGTGGGTTGAGTAAGGAGATGCAGGGTTTCCTAAACATCCATCATTGTAGTGCCAGTGAAACTGCTGCTAGCTCCACCATGTGCTATTAATTATTCAGAATTTTTAAAAAGCCAATCACTTTTTCAATGTCAAAAGTTTCTAAAAGAAACAAAATAAGAATAAATTTAAAAGGCACGTATCAATGACAGGAAGAGCTATAGCTCCAGAGCTTGAGGGGTCCTTTCAACAGTGGCAGACAAGAAGGCAATGGCTGAGAATGGTGGGGCTGGTTGAGCTGGGAGCTCTGGACTGTTCTGGGAACCAAGGCTTACTGGGGGTAGGGGGGATCAGCAAATAAGAGGCATCACCCTCTGTCC